GCTGGGTTCCCACTATCGGCTTGTGGAGCTCTCGGGAGACCGATGTTTTCCACCCGGTTCACCCAGCAGTCAGCCCGGCGTATCTCTGACTCAGAAGCTCTGGTGTTGTGCACAGTTAACTCCGGTGGTAGCAAGGTTGCTACCTCCGTTAGCTTAGCTCCCACCTCCGCGTTAGCTTTGGGTTAGCTTGTAGCTAGTTAGACCGGGTGTCGTCAGTTGATCCCAGCCTTACAGCCCCACCCTCAGCTCCACCTCTCTTCCCTTTTGTGGAATTGTCTGGGCTTGACGGAACCTGTGACACTGTCAAAATGGCGGTGGTGGCCACCTCCCATTTTTCTTCAAAAACGTGTTATTGGAGCCTATGGAAACCCATTGTCCAATATTATCCAAGTATGTGAGCATTTAAACACTAATGATCTGCTTGAGTAATTTCAGTCTGGTTTTAGAGCGTATCACAGCACTGAAACTGCGTTAGTGAGAGTTACAAATGATATTCTCATGGCCTCAGATAAGAATCTTGTGTCTGTTCTAGTCTTGTTAGATCTCAGTGCTGCCTTTGACACAGTTGATCACAATGTTCTTTTAGAAAGACTTGAACATGTTGTAGGGATCAAAGGAACAGCGTTAGGCTGGTTTAAATCCTACCTATCTGACAGATTTCATTTTGTAAATGTACATGACAAATCTTCTTCATACTCCAGGGTTACTTGCGGAGTACCACAGGATTCAGTGCTTGGACCAATTCTTTTTACTATATATATGCTCTGAATTGGTAAAATCATTAGACAGCATGGGATAAACTTCCACTGTTATGCTGACGATACTCAGTTATATTTATCCATTAACCCTGATGAACCTAATCGGTTGGGTAGATTACAGGCTTGTCTTGAGGACATAAAAAATTGGACGACTCTAAACTTTTTGCTTTTAAATCAAGACAAGATGGAAGTTCTCATCTTTGGACCAGAAATCCAGAAAAGGAAATTGCTTAGTCAATCACCTGACCTTAATGGCATTGCATTAATCTCCGAGAACAAAGTAAGGAACCTTGGTGTTATCTTTGACCAGGACATGTCATTCAAATCCCAGGTTAAACAGGTTTGTAGGATTTCCTTTTTCCACCTTCGGAATATTGCTAAGATTGGAAGCATACTTTCCAGGGGTGATGCTGAAAAACGAGTTCATGCACTTATTACATCAAGACTGGATTACTGTAATTCCTTACTCTCAGGAAGTCCACAGAATGTAGTTAAAAGTCTTCAGCTTGTCCAAAATGCTGCAGCTAGAGTTCTGATGAGAATTAAAAAGAGAGATCATATCTCTCCTGTCTTAGCTTCCCTACACTGGCGACCTGTTAAATTCAGAATAGATTTTAAGATCCTTCTTCTCACATATAAAGCTCTTAATAATCAAGCTCCTTCATACATCAGTGATCTGATTGTTCCATACGTTCCTAACCGAGCACTTCGCTCTCAGACTGCAGGTCTACTGGTGGTTCCCAGAATATCTCAAATTAGGATGGGGGGCAGATCTTTTAGTTATCAGGCTCCTCTCCTGTGGAACCAGCTCCCAGCTTTAGTCCATGAGGCAGACACTTTGTCTACTTTTAAGAATAGGTTTAAAACATTTTTATTTGATAGGGCCTATGGTTAAAATTTGATGTTAGCCTAGATCTGGACCTGTGGGGGAGTACAGGGAGGTGGAGTGTACAGTCGGTAAAGACGGCTCTCCCTTGCCCTGCCTCCAACATGCCTCCATCTAAATAGGATAGATTATCCAGAGTTTTCTCTGTAGTTATGCTGCTATAGGCTTAGACTGCTGGAGGATACACTGACCGCTTTTCACACTCTACTGCTTTCTTCTACAGTCTGCTCTTTAACTGTATTATTTCCTGCTATTTCAGCTGTTAACTTTGTTTGCTCTCTAAGTGTTTTTCTCCCCAGAAGAAGCTACAATGATGTTCTGCTGAGCTGTGGTGGCCTCATGGAGGGGGCCATCGTCTAGCACACTGCTGCTAACCACTTAAACATTCTCCTCTCTCCTGATAATAACTTTTTGCTTTCCTTGACTTTTGATGTGCTAATACTAGTTTATCCGTTTAATTATAGATCCACTAGGATAAATACAATAAAGTTTATCTTTCACCAAATAGAATATTTACTAAGACATCACAATATAACTATAGACACATTACTAGTCTTGTGTGTGTGTGTGTGTGTGTGTGTGTGTGTGTGTGTGTGTGTGTGTGTGTGTGTGTGTGTGTGTGTGTGTGTGTGTGTGTGTGTGTGTGTGAGTGTGTGAGTCGTGGAGGATGGCTGCTTATACTGAGCCAGGATCCTCTGGAGGTTTCTTCCTGTTAAAAGGGAGTTTTCCTCTCCACTGTCGCTTTATGCTTGCTTAGTATGAGGATTGCTGTAAAGTCACTGACACTAGTCAGTGACTTGATGCAATTTGCTGGGTTCCTTATATAGGAAACATTATTTCTGATTGGCTTAATGAACTGACCTGAATTGGAATGTTTATTATGTGAAGTGCCTTGAGACGACTCTTGTCGTGATCTCACGCTATATAAATAAAATTGAATTGAATTGAATTGAATTGAATTGAATTGAATTGACTGTATATGTCGATGGCTGAGACATGCTCTGCTCTCTCCTGGTGGCTAAAAAAGCCCAGCCTTTTCTGGCACAAGCGAAAATGGGTGGGGCCATGTATGCAAATTTTCTCTGTGACGTAAAAGAAGCAGGATTTTATTTAGCTTGACTATTTTCCCGTCTGTTTCCATTCTGCCGCTAAAGCAGGCAATGGGAGTTGAAGACATTTTTCACGTTGTGCATGTTTGTGAAACTCGGAGTGGACGATCATGTTTCAAAAATAACAAATAGTACACAGTTTCTCAGTAAGCAGGACCTTTAAGTTACATTTTAGGGACATAAAAATAAGGAGCAGACAGGAATTAAGGCTCTACAGCAGGGGGCTACTACCCCACCTTGCCCCCCTGTAGAACTGCCCTTGTTGCACATCTTTGCAATAAGAAAAATCTACAAAAGAAAAACAACAAAATATGGTATAATTAAAAGCTGTTGTAGAAAAATAGCTATTTCAGCCTGAAACTGATTAGTAGCCATGTTGACTTGGGTTGATGCCAAATAACTGCAGAAGTATTCAATTTTTACTTTATGAATAAAATCCACCCAAAATCATATTTTTCTTGCAAACGTGAAAATTAGGTTAAAGTTCCAAAAGCAACAGTTGGAATCGGAGAATTCCCGGACGCGTGAAGCAAACCCTTTCAAGACTTGATGGTTGAGGAATTCTAATTTTTCTCCTCCTTCAGTCGGAGTGAAAACACACACGTGAAAAGGAAGAAAACAGATGTTTTAGAAAGGAAGATTTTTCTGAACAAACACTTGTTGAAGTTTTGAAGTTGTGCTTTTTAAGTCAGACTCGTCTCCACTGTGAACGGAGCCAAACCTGGATGACCTGGCAGCGTGTCAGAGGGGAGGAGAGGATTCACCTAAAATCAATTTCACATCCCGAGCCCAGGTGCAGCGTCCGGGTTGGAGGTGTGAGACATCCAGCTGGTAGCAAACCCCAATATGAAAACAGGGATGCTGCTGCTGCGGGTGTGAGTGTGGAGGGTGAGTTTTCTCCCTTCCTCTGAGGCCCTGGTGCATCCATCTTTCTTTCCACTGATTCAGTCGCACAGACTGAATTGTAAAAGTCGTGTCAGCACAGCAGTTGCCTCTGCGATCCTGTTAGCCCTCTCTGTCGAGGCGGCAGCGTACATGTCCCTGCAATCATTGCACCAGTTAGGACTGTACCGCCGCCGTGCAGCGTGATTGCTCCATTAAGGAACGCAAAGTGACAACTACAATTTGTTACTCGGAGGCTGCATGTTCCGCTGCGGTGTTAGGTGGACGCACACGGCTGCACGCTCGCAATTAAAAGGTCATATTTCTAACTGGCATGTTTATAGTGAAGAGCCGTCTCCACAATGCCAGTGTGTGTGTGTGTGTGTGTGTGTGTGTGTGTGTGTGTGTGTGTGTGTGTGTGTGACTGGCCTGTTTGTGGCTCAGAGTGAGTAAATCACTGTGTCTGATATCTTCATTTGAGGCTGATCACTGCTCATCCTGCTTGTTCCACATTAAGTCATTATCACACACACTCACTCCATTAATTCTCTTGTTTTTATTAACAGGAAGACTGCACACACACACACACACACACACACACACACACTGAGAGAGTGGACCAATGACAAGCTCTGCCTCTACCTCATCTGACAGCTAATGGTTTCATTAGGAGCAGAGTGTTAATTGGCTGACTTTAGGGAGATGCTCGTTAATGAGGATAAATAGATTCGCACCTGAGCGTGCGATGCCCAGACACAGAGGCATTGTGGGAACTTTGAAGCAAACGCAGCCTGCAAATATGACTGTTAAGGAGTGGAAGTCGACAGCACAAGGCCTCGTTCCTCCTTCCTTCCTTTGCTCCCTCCTTGCATGTTAAACACATGGTGTGTTTTCCTTGCCAGGCAGACTTATTAGCTGAGTGGTTGATTAGCACCAGGAGGCCAAAACAAAGAGCAGTATGTCAAAGCAATTAGCCCCACTGTTTACCTCTCAGCTGCTGGGCTGACTGCAAAATGCATCTGATCCAGGCGAGGAAGAGGAGCGCGTGGAGTCAGTGCAGACAAACAAACAAACAAACAAACAAAAAGACTGGAAAAAGGGGCAACAGCTGCTCTACAGGCCACAATACGTGTGTGTGTGTGTGTGTGTGTGTGTGTGTGTGTGTGTGTGTGTGTGTGTGTGTGTGTGTGTGTGTGTGCAGTGATAGGAGGAGTCCTTCAATCCATCTGCTCTCCTGCCCGCCGAGATCTGCGTCCTCTGCTGTCTGGTCATGACAGCTCTGACAAACACACGTTGGTGAGAAGGGCTCATATTCTCATGGGAGTGTGTGTGTGTGTGTGTGTGTGTGTGTGTGTGTGTGTGGAGGTGGTGGGGGGTGCACTCGGCAGACAAAATGGGAACTGGCGATTCTGATGATTTACATCAAAAACAGGCTCTTAGAAGGCTGTTTCCACCAGTACCTGATTGTGAAGTGGACATTGGTACCATCTAGTGGATGTTAAAGGAACTGCATCATCTCTGCTCCAATATGAAGCAGAAAATAAAACAAAAAGAATGAGAACCACTCTCAAGCTTGATGACATCAGAAATGTTTGCTTCAAGGTACACTCACCAGCCATTTTATTAGGTACACTTGTTCAGTAATCAGATGGCAGCAGCTCGATGCTTTTAGGCGTCTAGTCCTGGTGAAGACACCTAGCGGAAATCCATGCTGAATGGGTGAATAAGACTTAGATGACTTTGAACATATCGTGTTTATTGGTGCCATGCACCAGAAATGGACCAGAAGAGACTGGAAAAAAACTTCCCTTGTCTGATGAGTCTGGATTTAAGCTGTCCGTTCAAAATCTGGTGTCACCAACATGAAAGCATGGATCCACCCTGCCTTGTGTCAATGCTTCAGCATGGTGGTGGGGGTGTAATAGTTTAGGGAAGATGTGTGTTGTTGTCCTACTCTGGACCCCTTAGTCCCACCTGAGGCTGGCTTAAACGCCACACCACCTGAGTTTTGTCGCAGACCATGTCCATCCCTTTGTGACCATATGGACCCATCTTCTGATGGCTTCTTCCAGCAGGATCAAGCACCGTGTCACAAAGTTCAGATCACCTCTAACCAATTTCTAGAACATGATCCAGAGTTCACTGGACTCTAGCGGCCACCACAGTCGCCAGATCTCAGTCCAGTCCAGAATTTTTGGGATGTGGTTTGCATTGAATTGGATTTAAGAAGATCCTCGTGGAGATGCAACTTCCTGTCATGCATTTGACTTCTGAAATGTACAAGTCATTTTCAAGTCACTTTTGTTGAACACCTGTGCAATGACAATAAAAAGATCTTGAATGCCACATCTGTGATTCGTGACCCGTTGTGAGGCCATCGTGTCCGCTTTGCGAACTTTATCAACTAAGATTGACTTAATGAGGAAAACTAAAGTTTTTTTATTTTATTTTTTTGCTACCTGATGATTTCTGTGGTTATTTTTGATAAATGACGTCATGTGGGTTAGTGGCATCGTGGCAGAAGCACTTTATTCTGTACACCTGTCACTGGTAGTTATTATTAATGTAGCGACATGAATAGCTCGTTTGTGACCCAAAGGTCACACTTCCCCAGCTAGGTCGAGCTGGGTCGAGCTGTAACTTTTGTCCCACAGATGAGCCATCACAGAGCCGTAGTCTGCTAAAACCATCTTTTATCTGTCTGCTGCTCCGTCCCAAGATGAAAGACACTTCAAGATTTAATATAATAATTTTTAATAAACACTTTTTACTGTTTATTACAAGGTTTATTATAATCATCATAAATAATCATCATGGTTCATTATAAATGTATTTCATTACTGAAATGATCAATTATTCTTTGGGTTAATAATAATTATTATTTATGATAATCAGTAATGTTTGACAGTGTGAAGAAGGTCATTTGCACGTGTACACACCATGCAGAGGGAACTGAATCCAGGGTTTGCTCCATAACAACACGCTTTCTGACGCTCAGAGGGCGTGTTCTGAGGTTTTTTTTTAAACCAAAAACTCTTCAGTTCAACTTCAGTTCTTGAACCAAGCAGATACTCTCGTAGCAACGAGAGTACCAGAGGACGAGGGTCGGCCGCCCGAAGCCTCCTCCTGCTGCTCTGTCACGCCGATAGAACAGCTCAGAGTAAACGCCACCTGTAACCAGCTGACCAAAACTCCTTCAGAGTTCTTGGTTTTGAGACGCAACTAGTTTCATCAGTCATTGGGACCCGGAGACATCTCAGGACCGATTTGGTCGCACTAAGGTCTTCTACCATCCTCGTGCTTGGGGGTTCACCATCTCCACCTGACACCTCGGATCCACCAGAGGGTCTCCTGAACTGGGTGAGGTAGACACTTTCCGACAGATGGCGTCTGTATGCTGTTCTCTCTAAGAAACATCAGTTAGTTGCAAAACAACTTTTCCACCTAGATCGCGTTTCTCTCTCTGAAAGAAATCTTCTGAGATTCATCCACGCATCCAAACATACGAATTCCACTTTAGTTTCCATTCAGACACAGGTTTGCTTTTAGTACCAAGTTTTAATATCAAAGCTGTTATAAATTGTCATCTTTAAATTGTTAGTAATAAATTCTTAACTTTTTAAACCTTACTTTTCTTTTAAATGAAACACAGAATGGTGTATATTTGGTTATTGAATAAGCAAAGATTCCATTAAGTCTTCTGGTTAATAAATAAACTTTTGCTATAAATTAAATTATCTTAAATTAAAAATTAATCTTTGGATTAAATACAGACCAAGCCCGTTGGTGTATGAACTTCTATCGATTGTGTAAATATCCAAGATATTTATGCATGATATAAGTTCATATGCTAATGTGTCTGATCTTTTCTCAGGATCTAACAACGCTGATAGCAAACAGCGTTAAATCCTAGTATGTAGATTGTCTACGCTACATTAACGACGCTAACACAAGTTCGGAAAGCAGCAACCTCCTTCAGTAAAATATTCCCCTTTCCCCTTCATGTTTCATCTCTCAGTATAAACAGAAAAAGCTTTGCCAACTTGTTTCTCATCTTACTAATGTTCATGATATGCAAACAACTCGCCTCTGATTAGCAACGCAACTCTTCCACTGCCTTCGTTTGCTCTTCATTATTTGTTAAAAAATGCACCAATGATGTTTTATCTCTGCAAATAACACATCCCTGAACATGTCCAACTATGTTGTAGAATTGCTAATGCTAACAAGTAGCTTCTACTAGCCAAGATGTGCTCTGCTCTCTCCTGGGGCCATGAATGATCATTTTCGCAGTGACGTAGAAGATTGGCGTTTTCAGACCCGAGTGTTTCCTTTCTGCGACTAATGCAGGAAAGAGAGGTTGAAGAATACTTTCACGTTCAGCATGCATATGTAACTCAGAGTGACTGATTGTAATGCAAGAACCAGCACGTAATCTAAATAAAGGAGATAAAATTAGAAATGTAATGCATAATTCAGAATATATGATGTGCTACGTTGGCTAAATTAGTTAAAAATGGCTTATTTTTATGGAGCTAGGATTGGGGCAATATTACATGTAACTTGTACCAAGTTTTGTAACTTGTAATATGTTTGTAACTGCAACTCATTCATTTCGTAGCATGTAATTCACCTTTTGTAACATGTAACTTTCATTTTTTTAGCTTTTAATTCACATTTTGTAACATTTTGGAGAAGTCCAACAAGGTGAGCAACCTGCTCTGCCAGTGGGCAAAGGTCATCACACATTAAGGGTCCAGCAGGTTTCTTCTGCCAGGAATATTGTGTTCTTCCTTATACCAAATCAATTCCCCGTTTACCTTCGCTAGCTGCGCCATCTGGATAACCAGTCACAGCAACCTCTCCTGCTTTGTTGCCTGCAAACTCTCAAGGCCTCTGTCGTGGTCTGCGACCTGTGTTTCCCTCATGTGTCTCCTTGTGTTCCCCAGGCAACTCCAGGTTTTCCCCCTTAGGTGTTCCCCCCAGGTTTCAGCGTCCCTGTGTGTCCCCAACCCCCTCCAGACTCTTTAGGTTTCCCTCACGTTTTTCCTTAGACACCTTTTATCATTAGTCTTCTGTTAAGTGTTTTATCTAGTCTGCTTTCTCCCTCTAGTTCATTTAGCTCCCTTCCCCATTTTAAGGTCTGGTTTCCTCCCCGCTCCATTGTGCTCCTCATCTGTTTATTGGTCTCACCTGTGCACAATTCCCTAATCACCGAGCCCTTGTGTATAAAACCCTGTCTGCGTCACAGTGTGGTTGTTGGTCCATTGTTTGTGTCAGCGTTGTCTCGCACCCTCTCTTGGTCTCTAGGATTTTTTGGATATCTCCAGTCTGCTCTTTAAGAGAGCACTTTGTCTCTAGGTCTCTTGGTTTTCATACTAGGATTTTTGGATTTTTGGTTTTGGTTCCCTGCCCTATTGGATTTACTTTTGGACAACCATTCCTAAGAAAGGATTTTTTACGTTTATTCCAACTCCCGCCTCGTGTCTCCCTGGTTCTGCATCTTGGGTCCTAACCTCCCCCTGCTCGCAGCGTGACAGCTTCCTGCCGATGAAGAGACTATTTTCCCTTTTAATAAAATGATTCTTATTTTGTCTCATACATCATTTCCCAACTTTACAAGTTTTTTACAGCAACATTCTGTTTATCTAAAGTTATTTAATAATGCCTTGACTGCTTCACAGAGATGAATAAATCTACATAAATGTTTATTATTTCAGACCTTATATACACTAAATGAGTCTACTTGATGATGTAATGATTTATTATCCGTTATCACATTAGTATCAGTATATTAACTAATGACTGTTTATCTATTCAGTTCATATGTTAAATGAAATAAGCTTTCTAAGCATCTGAGAAAAGGGAGCGTTTGAGGACTCTTTGTAAATGCCTACAGAAATTTCTCAGATCTGGTTGGTCCAAAGTTTATAAACAACCAATTCTTAAAGGAGAGATCACTTCCTTTATTCTCCAGTTCAGCCAAAGCTCTAGTTTATGCTAAATTACCATCCTTTGGGGATTAAACCAAATCTTTCAGTGGAATGATTTTAGCGGTATAAAGAACCATCCTTTTTCAACCACTGGTTAACCACTTGCTCAATGTACAAACAACTCATCAGCCGTGAAACGGTCTACCTGCAGCCTGGGAGATGATCTCTGACCAGCTGGTGCGGAGCCATTTTGTCTGATATCACCAAGCGTTGCAGAGAGGCTTTGACATGATGGCAAAAGATAAGATGGTTTCAAAATGCTTTTTCCGCCAATTTGGCCAAATCGGAAGTCAGCTGGAAACAGAATTAATCAGGAAGTAATTCCTGTTTTATTGAATCACATTGTTGATAAATTTGGTAAATCCGAATTTGATTCGTTTGAGGGCTTTGCCAAAAATACCTCAGAAGTCTCTCCTTCCTTCAGATACAAAGATGGTTAACTCTTTGCGTGAATGAGAATGTTTTAACCCTCCCACTGTCTTCATGGGTGACCCCACCGGGAAAGTTGATCACTGAGCAGGGTTGATGGTTTATCCCTTGAGGTCCATGTGGCAGGGGTGAGGAAAAGCCCCCCACAATGCGGCTCTAAAATTGAGTCAAACCCGGAAGTACCAAAAATTGCAGTTCCACCCTCATCCACTGGGGGCTGGTGTCAGAAGTGAGCAAATCCTCATTGACTCCCATGTTAAAAATACCAATTTCACAGCAGAAATAAACATGTTTACAGCCTGGTACCAAAACATGTTTTTGGTTTAAATGATCTAGTTTACACTCATGACAACTCTGAGGGGGGTGAATTTTTTTCTCACTCTTCTGTTTAAGTGTATTAAAAGCCTAAAATTCTGTATAATTAATGAGCATCAGACCCACGTGACCACAGAGCTAGCTCCGTGGAAAGGCTTCAGTAGAGCCTCGGTCTGGCCTGGAAACTGCTCCGGGATATTGAGTCTCTGTGTTTGTGTATTCTTGTTTGGATATTTTTTGTGCAGTTGTTGGACAAAATGACTTGCTGTGGTATTAATTGCACTAATAGAGCTTCCAAGGAGTCTCCAATTCATTTTTTTCGGTAAGTAAAATTATATTTATGTATTTTAGGTCACTGCCGAGCTGAGCTTAGATTTTAACATGTACTGTTTAACCATGAAATTTAAATGTAATAGGGTAAAACCCAGTGCATTTAACATAATGCTGCACTTTAGAAAATGGGTTGAAATATAACATGTTGGTGGAGCTGGGTTCCGACTATCGTCTTGTGGAGCTCTTGGGAGACCGATGTTTTCCACCCGTTCTCCCCTGACTTCGCGGCTTCTGTTTGCTGAGCGGAATGCCGACTTTTGGAGCTCTGGGATGGAAACCTTTCCACCCGGTTCTCCCCAGCGGCAGCTCTGCGCATCTCAGATTGCAGCGGTGCCTGTCTGCTGTGCGGCTGCCGGCTTGTGGAGCTTTCGGGAGACCTCTGTATTCCACCCGGTTTTACCCAGCGGTCAGCCCGGCGTATCTCTGACTCAGAAGCTCTGGTGTTGTGCACAGTTAACTCCGGTTGTAGCTAGGTTGCTACCTCCGTTAGCTTAGCTCTGTCATGAGCCGGGGTGAGTACTCCTGTTCTCATAACCATCTGTGAGTCTCTTGCCAGGAGAGGGAGTGGCCCAGCTGTTCCTGATCAGCAATTAGCGGGGTGCCTTACTATTTAAGGTAGATGGTGGACACACTTCGACGCCGGAAGATTGCCTCAGTTTTGGTAGTAACCAGCCACTCGTGTTACCTCTAGTGTTCGCGCTTATATTGGATTTACCCTTCCTCAGGATTCCTGTCGACCTTCTTGGATTCTGACCTCTACCAGGATTTTGGATATTCAGCACATGGACCATATCACCACCGCCATAACCCACCTCTCATCTCACCCAGTGCCCCATCCACCAGGACGCCCCGCTTCTCTCCACCTCTGCTCCCTTTCCTGCGCTGCCCCGGCTCTCTACCTCTCCCTCCTCCAGCCAACACATACACCCCCCCACAGTAAGTCTGCTGAACACCTCTGCCTGCCTACAAAGGATTGTGACACCAGAACCTTTGCTCACCTGTGTTCTCCCTCCTCTAGACGCTGAGCTGTTGTTGCAGTTTCAACCACAGAATTATCTGTGCATTTTAAGTTCCTCCTTATAAATAAATCATGTTTTCATCCATTTTTGGTCAGTGTTGTATTCTGCATGTCTTGGGTTAAGTACCTTCCTCCAAACATGACAAGCTCCCACCTCTGCGTTAGCTTTGGGTTAGCTTGTAGCTAGTTCGACCGGGTGTCGTCAGTTGATTCCAGCCTTACAGCCCCACCCTCAGCTCCACCTCTCTTCCCTTTTTTGGAATTGTCTGGGCTTGACAGAAACTGTGACACGGTCAAAATGGCGGTGGTGGCCACCTCCCATTTGGCCTCAAAAACGTGTTACTGGAGCATATGGAAAGGAGATGTCCAGTATATTGTCGATGGGTGAGGAGTGAACACCACCTCACCCCTGCTCCTCACCCCTGCCACGTGGACCTCAAGGGATAAACCATCAATCCTGCTCAGTGGTCATATTTCCTGACGGGGTTACCCATGAAGACAGTGGGAGGGTTAAACACTTATGTGAAGTGGATGTTATTATAATGTGTATGAGTATACTGATTAACTTGTTAAATAAACACATACTGATCTGGTGTACTTAAGATCTGAAATGAATCATTGCAAGAAAGATATTCATTTTAAACCCATCATTGATTAAAGCACAGATTATTCAAACATTTGATTTAAACATCTTGTTCATTCAACACACTTGGTTATTTCAACCTGTAAGTTGTAAAGTCACGCGGGAACTTTGAGGCGGTTGAACTTTATTCAGAGTGAGGATGCAGGAGTTTCTGCTGCCTGAGAATGCCATGTCTCAGGACTGGAGCAGGGTCCTCTGTTTTGGGCCAGACAGACGGTGTGTCTGCAAAATGAAAGTTCATTTCCGGCCAATTTGTTGGTGAAAATTTGACCACTGGTACGTTACATCACGGGGTACCGTATTTCTGCACAGGCGTTTGATGGGTTAATATTAATTTGATAAATTGTTTAACCTCATTAAACTGTCGGATTTATTTTATAAACCCAGACATCACACCTTTCTGATTCACTCAGTGAAGCTCTTAAAACAAACAAGGTCATGTTGCATCAGGGCTCATTCATTGTTTCCGCTGATATCACTTAGAATCACCATTTATAATCATTTGCCTTACATCATCATTGATAGCAGAAATATAGTAACAAATAGATGTTATAAACTATATTTTTGTCTCCGTGTCAAATGATTTTAAAGCGTTGTTTCCCTGGCATTACCCAAATGACCTAGTTTCATCATCAATCGAATATTAAAGGCTCATTAATATCGATAATCCATATTTTATGGAATAATACATTTTATTGAATACCTTTATATTCTATTGACAATTTATTAAAAGCAACCATTTACAAAACATTACAACACATAACTTTAGTTTCGTAACACGTAATTCTCGTTTCGTAACACGTACCTTTGGAATTGTAACACATAACGTAACTTGTTTTGTAGCACATAGTTCTCGATTTGGAACAGTTAACTTTTCGTATGTAACTTGAAACTTTTGTTTTTTTAACTTGCAGAAAAAGATTAATGTACAAATTTTAAATCACAACTCTTGGTCTACAGTTACAAAACTCAAGTCTACTTGTTACAAAATATCCGTCCCAATTCTAGCGTCCTTTCCCAAAGAACCAATGGCAGGCGTTGTCTGACTAGCCAATCATGAGTCTTGGACTCCTGTCCAATCATGGCAACAGAGCAAAGGTCTACTGCTCACCGTAGATATGTATATAAACATATGAGTGTTTATTTACATATCTATACGGCGCACAACCAAACACGCATACGATCTCGTTCTTTACCAGTAGGTGGCAGTAATTCTTAGAGAAATCAAACTGATGTAAATAAAGAACTTAAATTGGCTCATAAGACAAAACCTGCCATTGGTTCTGTGGAAAGGATGCAAGAATTGGGACAAAATGTATTTTACATGTAGATTAGAATTTTGTAACTGTGGACTGAGCTGTGTGTGTTTTGAGTTGTGATTTGAAACTAGCACATATGCGTCTCAGCAAGTTACAAAAGGAAAGTTGTTACAAAACATGAATTTCATGCCAAAAAACAAAAGTTAGTTATAAAACACGATACTTGTAATATTGTCCTAATCCTTGCTGCGTATATTTTTAGATAATCAAATGCAACTTCCTGTTGTGCATTAGACTTTTGAAATGTTCATTTTATTTTTTTCTGAAGCATAAATGTGTATTTTATTTTAATATTAAAATATACATATATTTACTTTAATAATAAAACAAAACACGTTCTTATCTTTAACAACCCATCACACATATAAAGTACATATCTATATATACTTACCGTAAATCCTCCAACACAGGCCGGTATTCAATTAAAGGCCGGGTCTCCAATTTTGGCCGGTGTCGGAGTCAGCGGAGGTGAATAATGGCCGGTCTCTTATTGTGGCCAGGTGGAATGTGGTAACAAGCAAGTACGGGGGGTGGTTGTGTCATCGTCTCACTTCGTAGAGCGTCGGTACTGACACGCGATCGTTCATGTCGGTTCATTTCCTTTAATGTTTTCTATCTTTTATTTGCGCCTGATGTGTTTCGCTGCAGTGGAGCGGGGAGCATCACCTTGTCCTCCGACGCACCGATCACTGATGCGACCGCCAAGCAGCGAGCACTCCGCTGTTTTTGCGGTCGGTAGATCTTTTAGAACTGCAGTTCAAAGGTAACTCATAAGGTGAATATATATGAACCCAGGTAGCAGTTTTTCTTTAGGACTGAGAGGAGATGCAGGAAGATAATAAACAGGCAGGACAGAAAAATAGTCAAATAAAAACAAGTTAGTTTTTGTACCTGCTGTTTGCAACAAACAGACACCATTGAAGGTAATCAGAAGTGAGGAACAGAAAATGAAATAATTATTTTAATGTTTAGAGCAGCAGAACTCCGAGAGGCTGCAGGCGCATCAGTTTGCGGCCGCTGCGCAGGGGGAGGGGGGAGAGGGCTGAAGCAGGGGGAGGGGGGAGAGGGCTGAAGCAGAAACTACCGTTGTTAAAAGAAATGTGTTTAACTTTGAAAATGTGGCGCAATTTTAATTGTCAAAAACTCCAGCGAACCATTAGTTCATTTTGCTCAAATAGAAATAGAGGCCTGCCTCTAATTCTGGCCCTCCTTCCAATAAAGGCCTGGGCTTGATGAGCTTGAGTCAAAGGCCTGTATTAGAGGATTTACGGTATGTATTGATATTGATGAGTGTGGTTGATCGTGTCTGCTCCATACGACTGCCTGCCTGCAGTGAGACACCAGGTGACAGCAGATGCATGTCAATAATGATCTTTAATGTCAATATATACAGAACTTGAAAGAAAAAATAGAATTTTTAAAATCAAATGAAATAAATACAATATCATACAATTTCCACAATGTTTTTAAGAGATATCAATGGAAATATTCTCTTTAATTCAGTCTCTCTGGTTTGACAGGGTGCGTCCCGTCCCCCCAGAGAAGTCCAAACACCTTCACCACATGACCTTCGTCTTCATCATCATCATCACACGCATTTATTTTTTCCTACAGATCGACACACGTTTATTTAAACAAGACGTTTTGCTTTTTTTTACCACGTGGTTTTGCCTTCCGATTCTTGGTGTTTTCATATTTCCATTTCTTCTGTGTTGCCGATACATTTTCAGCATCACAAACGAACAACCAGGGCAGTTTAAAGGGAAATGAAACACGAGTTCTAGTCCAGACATGCATTTATGTTCCCAAAAGTGCTGGTAAATGATTTTGAACC